ATTATAAAACAACAACAACAAAAGATTCTTCTCAAGCAAAAAACTGACTCAAATGTTTCTACCCACATGCTACAAACAGAGCACAAATTAACCTTCATTATGTTTGAATTAAAGCCAGGACTAGCAGAAGGACCCAAACACAGGCTATATGCAACAAAATACACTCCTCCTGCGGCTGGCCGAGGGAACAGCAGGATCAGCGCTCAGCAGTGGCATCTGCTGTTTACAGCTCTTCATAGCCGTGTAATAAAACAAACAGTATTACAAGACTGACAGGCACAAAGGTGAATATTCAGTGGCTGATGGATGAGGCGATGGTAGAAGTGGTGACAAAAAGAAGTGTTTTCTGCATGTCTGTGATGAGTGTCTCACCCTGAGACGACCAGGTCTCCATCAGCGGAGAAGGCACATGACAGCACTGGAGCAGACTGGCTGGTGAGTGTGTGCAGCAGCTTCATGATGCACACTGAGGATCAAATGCACACACACCTACAAGATCAGAGGTCAAGTAAAGTGAGTGTGTATTTGTTCAGCTACCGGCCTCCCGCAGTTCCTTCATAAATTGACCAGAAACACTAAAATTCAGTCTCTCATTCATTTATACTTCAAACTGAGTCACTGTCTGGAGCCCTCAACCCCACCGCACCCCCCACAGCCTGAAAAAAGCCAAGTTAGTGAATACCGTGACTATCTATCCCCTCCTGCCGGCTCACAGCTGTTCCACCTACTGACAGCTGCTTCCAAAAACGTTTTCTTTTTGGAAATACACGTATGACATTCACAGCCTAAGGTACAAAGCCTCCGAGTACTGAGAAATAACCCACTGTCCAATGACTCTACTAAAGTACGTTCCAAAACTAATTGGTCTGCAGCAGCATTTAAATTACCATCCTGTAGACGTATTAAACCAATCTTCTCCTTACTTCACAAAATTAAAAATACTGTTTTCAGACACGGTGGGAGGCTAAGTTGTTATTTTCATGCTGATTTATGGTGCGGTGTGTTGCATTATTAAACCTGACATAATACACTTCAACTGACACAATTTAAGGTTTGACACACAGAGCTGGAATGAGACCATTTCCTCTGGATTGGGCTGCTACACAAAGTAACAGTAGCTAAACGTTCCACATCAGCAGCAGTGAACCCAGCTTTAAAAGCGGTTCCTTTGCTTCACTGAATCATCTACACTTGGGCTAAATCTCTTTCTCAAAACAGAAGAGGGGTTCGAGCATGCAGTCCTCTTGCCAAGACAAGATGAAAGCACATTTCACAAAGGCAAGCCTGTTGCCAGGTCCTCCAGGGAGAGGTGCAGTATCTGAGAAACTGCATCTTAAAGAAATGATTTAAGGACCGACATTGTTCCGTGTCCTTCTACAAGCTGCTTAGAGACGATAAATCCCCATGGACCTCAGCAGGTCACCACGTGGGACCCATCGCATCCTCCCAGAGGACAGCCGTCACCACAGCAACACAGCTTAGGAACTAACAACATGGTACGCTCAACACAAATCCAGTGTGTAGGCCGGTTACACAACCAGTGAGCGTACAGGACACGCTGTTGTTCTACAAGGTATGAATGTCACAGTGGATATATGTACCTGATTACCTCCCAGCTCAAACACACTGTCATCTGCTGCTGCTGTATTTCAGTAGAAAGTTTTACAGTGATCCATTATTAATGAAGTCAGGCTGCAGCCGATTTATTCCACCCTAATAAAATTCTTCTATTTTGTAGAGAGATTTCATGGCTTCAGCTTCTGCAAGCACTCTTTCTCTCTCTCTCTCTTTCAGCTGAGGAAGAGGGCAGTGTGGTCGGCCTACCTGCTCCTTCACTCTGGGAAATGATCCATATTTTCAGCTGGCTGTCTTGTCCACAGGAGGCCAGTCGAAACTCCACACAGCAGCCATCTGCAGAGCAACAACAACCACAACTCCCGTTTCCTCAGTGTTCACACGCGAGTGACTTTAATATCAAAACATGTCAAATACTGGCGGACTGCTGATGCTTAAGTATAAAAACACATCTCCAACATGTTTCACGCTGTATGTGGCATAATGTTTTGATTAAAATCCGTTTCCCATAAAGTTTGTACTTCTTATTCCCTAACAATGGCAAAGAACAAACACTAGAAATGTCATTTTTACTTCAGATGGTGTGCATCAGGCTGCTTTTAAATAGTTGCTAGCTATGAAGGATCTCAGCTTTATCTGTGCAGGATGAATTATGTTATTTATAAAAGCTGAATTGTGACAGAAAAAAAAAATCAAAAGAGAAAGTGTAAATTTATTTCTGCAACAAACTAAAGGATTAGTTCACCCAATAACACAAAGTCATATGAAGAAGAGCCGTCAGAGTGGAGCTACTCGCTCTGAAGAACTGGTCCTGCTGCAAACCACCCACAGTGAGGTTTGTTATCGAGATACTGGTGTCTGTCATTTTCATTCGCTTATTTATAATTTATCAATGAAAAGTCAGAAAACAGGGAATCTAAATCAGTTTCAGAGCCAATGCTGGTGTCTTCAAATTGCTAGTCTTTGATGATCAACTGTCCAAAAACCAAAGATATGTTTACAATTAAAAAAGAAAAAATGTAAATAATTTCCCACAATGAAAACTGAACCAGCAAATATTTAGCCTTTTGCTTAAAAAAAAGGACTTCAATCAATTCTCAAAATAGCTGATTTTGCATCATCTGACAAATTTTTTCAGCATTAGTTGAGTTAAAGATGTCTTTTTTAAAAATGCATTTACAAATTGCTTTGAAAACATCTTAAAATAGCAACAAAAAAAAAACATTTCTGCACGTCTGGACACCAGAAGCATAAGTAAATGTAAAAGAAAATGGTGTGTGTGTGTGCGCGCATGATTTGAATGAAGTGACCCTCTAAACACACCAAACTCACCAACTTTGAACTGGGGTGCGAAGCTGCAGCAGGCGACCCCCAGGTCATGGGCGTCCTTCTCAGCACACAAGAGGCTGATGTCTACATCCCACAGTTTAAGGTCTCCATAGGTGCAGCCGGTCACAAACATCTGGCCACAGGGAGAGAAGCAGCAAGCCACAACACTGGCCTTGCTTACTGCACTGCATCTGTGAGGGGAAACATTTAGATATATACACTGGGTTGAACTTGAACAGAAAGATTTATCAGCAAAAAAGAGCAGGAGCTAAAAATTTATCCTGGCTTAAAATAAAAATAAAAAGTTCATTGGATTTTGGATGAAGCTTTGGAGTCCTGGAAGAGTGTAAACTGGAGAGACACAGGCCCAAGGGCGCCTGAATGAACAGTAACAGATGAGTCACATACTAAAATGTTATTCTTTGTTAGTCTTATTTCCCTTTATTGCTCTTACATACTGTTGTACTGTACAGTATAAGCAGCTGCACACTATACCTGCGTAAAGTCTTGGAGGGGAAGTCCCAAAGGGCCACGGTCCCATCGGAGGCCCCTGCCAGCAGCAGGGAGGAGTCT